CCGTTGATAGAAACAAGCCACGATAAGATAGATTATTCGAAATATATTATCATAATAGTGAAAGTTGGAACAATAGCAGTAATCCTGCCCGGTCGAATGTAAAAAGGCGTCTTGGCCGATCGATATTGGCCCCTTACGTATCCTTTGGATTTTTATTCTTCACGAAGCCAAAAAAAATCTTCGTCCGAGAGATCCGACGTAACGCGGCCGATGTGACGTAAGTTCACGATAGATTTTCGGGTGCTCTATTTTCAGTTAATTTTTTTTTCCTCCGACCACGCTGCCAATTTCACAGTTTACGTTCGCACGCGATTTCATCTTTTGGTCGAGGACGATTTTTCTTATTGAATATTTTTTTTTTTTTTAATAGATTTCTTACGTCATCACTTTGATACGAATAGATTGTAAAGTGGCTGGAAAAATCTTTTGCCAAGTTGCGTCATCCTTGTCCTCAGTGCATTATTAGATCGGAAGGAGAGAAATTTGTATCTTTGACACTTTAGCCTCCAGAGACGCGACCTTTGTCTTTCTCTGACACGGGAGTTACAGTTTTGTATCGTCTAGCTGGGTAACCGTGTATGGATCCTGGGACGAATAAAAGGGAGATAAAAGGAAGTAGAAAGTGAAATAAAGGTCAAGAGAATCGTTCGACTAGGTTGTACTGTTACGTGTAAGAATTGACTTAAAGGGAATCCAAGTATGTACAGTGGTTGCCATTACTTTGGAAAGGACAGTCAGGCTGGCAATTAAATTCTTCGTCTGACCTGATAATTTACGAGACACAGGGCCCCTTTCGTTGACTCCAGTCAAGTGAGTGACTCATGACCCAAGTAAGTAAACGAGCCGTTCGCTCGTGTCCTTGCATTTGCACATTTTTAAATGCGTTTAAAAATGCACGTAAATATGATTTCTTCCATGTAAGATAATAAATTTGTATTTATTTTCTACTAGTACAATTTCACTTTACAGAGGGGTCACCCTTCCTATGGCTTTCAATAGAAACGAGTCCCCCGAACGTTAAATGTCACTCTTGGCCTCGAACCCTATACCCACGGAAGTACATAATTTAACGTAATTAATTTTATTTTCAACATGGCGGCTAACTAGCAACCATCAAGCGCTCGTACGTTACGGGGATATTACGAGACACGTGGGTTACGTAGCGAAAGTACCAAGACGATTGAAATTTCCTTTTTAATTAAACGAAGTCCCTCGTTAGCGGTCAGGACACTCGGATCTAATTTCGCGCGACTCGCCAGATACATTCAAAATTTCCCTCGGACATTTATTTGCCACTTTGCGGTCCATTTGCCTTCGGTGGACGCGAACAGAACGGCGATCGGAAAGAAGGAAATGAAGAGCAGCGCCAGCGTTCTCTGAGGATTGACGAAGTGCCATTGAAGGCGCGCTACCTTTTTGGAAAAGTCAAAATCAGCAGCCGACAATCGCCTTGGTAATTCAGGGATTTTTCCAAAAAGGCGCGAAAAAATGTTAATACCCACGTGACATTAAATTTTTTATTTTTTTTTTTCAAAAAAAACAAAAACAAAAAAAAACACCAGCTTGCCCATACAAACGATCAATACCTCGTGACGTTAATCCGTCCTCATAACTGAAATCCGAAATTAACGTAATATCAAACTAACAGGCAGATAAAAAAAGGATAACAGCGACAGACACGTGTCGAGATGACAATTCATCTCGATTGGATCCTTTCACAGATCCTTTCATGTAAATCTCTTATCAACGGTTGCCATTATCGGGTTTGTTATTTTTTTTGGAAAAAAAAATTCGCCTCTTATTCCCATCCGCAAGGTACTGTATTTGCCGTCGCACGTATATAATCCCATCGAGCAATTTCCTTCTCGGTCCATGGCTTAACCAATAATTATCTTCCTTTTTTTTTTCTTTTTTTTTTTTTTTGAAGGAAACTCGGATGCTGCAGGTAACCACTAGAAATCCGACTGGCAAGCTTCAGGCCGCATTGCGGATACACGTGCAAGCCGATGCGGTCTTCCTCTTTTTCTCTTTTACTCTCTCTCTCTCTCTCTCTCTCTCTCTCTACGTCTTCTCGATCATTCACTTTGTTTCCTCCCGAAGGATAAAAGCTTCCACAGCATCCACTCGCCTGTACCACTATTTCCTCGGTGCAGTCCTCGCGCTCTTCCTCTTTTTCTCTTTTACTCTGCAGGTAACCACTAGAAATCCGACTGGCAAGCTTCAGGCCGCATTGCGGATACACGTGCAAGCCGATGCGGTCTTCCTCTTTTTCTCTTTTACTCTCTCTCTCTCTCTCTCTCTCTCTCTCTACGTCTTCTCGATCATTCACTTTGTTTCCTCCCGAAGGATAAAAGCTTCCACAGCATCCACTCGCCTGTACCACTATTTCCTCGGTGCAGTCCTCGCGCGTCACTGCCAGTTAACGACGTTCCGGCACGTGCGCGAACTCTCGACCCTTCGCGTATCCCACGCCGTGACATTGAGCGGCCACTAAAGTCTCCCGATCAGATTGATCGATCAATAGTTCAGCCTGTCGGATACCGAATTCTCTGGGATATTTAAAAAGTACGTATAAGTCGGACACGCTGTACGTTTGAAAAAAAAAAAAATACACATTTTTCTCATTCATCCGTATACCCGAATACAGTCTCCTCGACCATACGTCCGCCCACGTGTTTATACCCGTAGAAGTCACGCGGGTACTGAAAATATCGTTATCTTCATTAAAGATTTGACAAAAAGCTTCTCCTCCTCGGTTATACAAAATCCCGCGTCGAGGCATCCCGCGGTAATTATAATTATGACCTTGGGTGCGCCACCATGAAAATCGTCTTACAAATTAGAACAAATGACCGCTTCTCCGGGCACGGGTAATTAAATTTATTGCCCTTGCAGGCACAGAGCGCCGTTGCTCTACGAATGCCGGACTGACGTGAAACAGGAGTTAGCCTGGCTGCTGGTGGAAGTGAATAATAGCAGGCTGATTCGACGGGTCGTCGTTTACCGGGCGCGATTAGAAAACTCCACAAAGATACACTTCCGGTACGTTTTTGGTCTCCGTATACGGATATAAATTCGGTATTGATAAAAAAAAAAATATTTTTCCATATATCCGATCCCCGAGTGAACACGCCTCTCTCCCTTTTCACTTCCGATCGATTATAGCGTTTCTATCGGCAGCGCTATCTGGCGGCGGCGATGTTAATTAAATTTAACAACGATTCGTACCTGCGGTTTTCATCGAAAGATATACTAGGTTATACGCATACGCGGCTATGAATATTACGAGCCCAAATGGGGGAGCCGTTTAATTCCTATGAATTATCATAATTAAGTATGGTTACGTGATCGCTTACAGAGCGTAGAGTATAGGCAAAGATTAATCGTTATTAACCGCTAACGGTACTGGGATCGCGTTACACCGCGCATTCGTATCTTGAATTAGTTGCGCGTACTCTCTTGCAACGAGTCTGAGACTTGCTGTACGTATAAATAGGTATAGAGCGAGTGACGCAAGAAGCAGAGACCGGGTCCACCTCAAAAGGTATAAAAAGTAAGAGAAATCGTATGGAGAATCCTGGGCCGAGTCTATCGCCAAGTATTACACGGATTAACGTTCGCTGGCTATTGTAATATCAGCGTGGCCTCGGCGAAGCCTCCAGGCCAAAAGCCAACACGCTGTACGCGTGGATAAAGACTGAATGTAGGCAACGGAGATCGGAGATCTTTTCCTCGGGTTATTTCAGATCCTCGATAACACTGTAAATGCGTGTTACTTCGTCAAAAATATATTTTTGACATTGTAGTACGTTTAGGGTTTTGGGACTGTTTTTTTTTTCCTTCGCCATGTATCCCGGATGCAATTCGCATAGGCGATTCCTCGTATTAAAGTTTCAAGTCTTCTACCCAGAATGCATCAGCTGACTCGGCCGATTGGCCCAGTGTATTCCGCCGCTCTGGCACGAGTCGCTGGACGTAAAGTCCGTACATCGTGCTGCCAACATGCTTGCTTTCCCAGTGGTGCCACCCGGGATACTTAAGCAGCGCCATCTATGTGTCGCTCACGTAAAACATCTGAAACCTTTCTCAGACCCTCGTAGCAACTCGAGACTATATATATATATATATACCTTTGTTGGTAGTTGCTTTCTTCTTGTCTCTAGCTACTTCGAACCTGCATCCCTCGTCTCGGATCCATCTTCGGTCTACCGACCCCGTCGTCGTTTCTCATCTTCCCGGAGACGAAAGCCGAGTCCCTTCTCGTCGCAGATTCACTCTGTTCTTTCGTAAATCTCAATTTTCACCAATGCCTTCGTACTTTGCTCGCTGCTACCAGTTTCGTTTGATCGAAAGGTAGTACAGCCTGTCTGAGAAATTTTTCAGTAGCGCCGAGATGACAATTCATCTCGATTGGATCCTTTCACAGATTCTGGTGGGACAATGGGAACTTCGAGATTTGCTCGTACCAGACGAATAAAAGTGCGGGGATCGGGTCGTGTTGGATGTAAAAAAAAATTGGGTTACATACGGGATTTCTAGTTGGGACTTTTAAGGTGATATATACATATATAGTATGCGCGTGAAAGAAAAGAAAATACGGACGGTGAAGTTTTGATACGTTACTCCTGTTACCGTGCCCGTTACCTCGTGGCGCCTACGATTCTTTTCTACGGTATTCAATTTTTACCGTCTTCACTCGCAAACCGCTCGAACCCACGATATAACGTTGCGAGCCAGTCGCGTTCGTTGAACTCGCTCATGAAATTCACAGGGTGCGTAATTAACCTTGAATCTCTATGAAATTCCCATACGGCAAAATTCTCGGATAGAAACGAAACACGGAAAGGTAACAAGATTTCGCGAAGTACTATGCTTCTTTGTTCCGTCATTCGTTTCATAGACGATCAGAAAAATTATTAAAAAATAATATAAATCAACAGCGTATACATTACACAGTATAACGTCATGATCAATTTTGAAAACATACTCACGCTACTTACCCTTCATTTTTATGGCTTTCCCGTATTGACAATTCAGTCGTAAGCACCACCCGTGCTGCCCTCTGTCTTCCAACCTGAAAGGTAACTGACTTATTGAAATTGCTGTGAAAATAAAAAAAAAAATTATTGAAAAAAAATAGTTTGAAATAATTTGCATAAAAAGCAGAGTCAAATACGGTCACCAGGTATATGTTTATAATTGCAGAATACAAAGTACCAATGTACCAGACCTTATGGTCATACATAACCAACAAGGCACGTTCCGTTACTGGAATAGATATTATATGCGGAGAGCATTGCGAAATGTAAAAGGCAGGGCAAAGGCGCGTGCTCACCGGATACACAGAGCTAATTATATCGAGCGACAGCCAAGCGTACTTAACCGAGTGTTCATCGCCATAAGTGCCATTCCGTGTGCCGCCGAGCGTTGGTCATTCCTTGCCGAGTTGAGGCATTAAATTTACCTCGTCACAGTTCCGCAGCCAGACACGTCCGCGACGCGAAAGAGAATCCGAGCAAGAACCTGACCGTCGCAATTTATAAAAGACGCAAGAAATACCCAATGGAGACGTTTGATGTAACGTCAGGAAGAACCGGTCGTTTATTTTTCTTACGTTACTATAACCATGGAACTGTAGGATTCGATGGCCGTATCGGGAACGACGAACGCTTCGCGTCTGTGCTATACTGTGGCCAGAGTCGAAAGAGGTTAGGAATATTCACTATCAACGTAGACGAACGTTATACCGTAGCCCGTGGACGCTCAATAAAATATTGGCAAAGCTCCCGCAGCTCCGATTGGCTCTCCTCTCGTTCATGTCGGAGGGTCTGGAGTATTTACGCGTATATCTGGCATCCAGAAATTTAAAAGAGATTTTCCCACGACTTTTCTCAACAAGATTTCGACCTCCGTCAAGTCTCGCTTTTTATCGTTATAATTCTATAGCATAACTCGAGTCAGCCATACGCGATCATAGGTACATCCATTTATTTTTCGCCTCCCACGATTATCCTCGGCCATATCAAGGCAAGCATATATATGTATAGCTGCGTGTACATTGAAACGACACGAAGTAAAAGTGAATATCGTCGGGTGGTAACGAAATCGAAAATGGAAGAACGGGATTCTCGATTTATTATATATCGGACGTCGTTACGTAACGGAAACTTTTTTGCCGAGATACCAAAATGGGATGTAACGGAATTTAATTATGAACAATACCCCTCGTTGAGATACTTAAGGAATACTAAGCACTTAGCAAATTTATTTTTATCTACCTTGTTGTCAGTCGTGTATACAGAGACGTCCATCTTTTGTATCGTTGATAAAGATTCTTCACGTAATGTCTATAGGTTATCAGTGCCATCTCCAGGGATACTTAGACTCCAGTATGAAAGGACTTAATCTCGTTCGTTTGGTTGGGTTTAAGTCTCGAGGCAATCAGCCACGAGAAACGCCGTTAGCGTATAAATATCCGTTATCCGAGGATCCACGCTTCGCAAGGCGCGATTCGATTCCTTCGTGCCCGACGATATTTCCAATTTATCGTTTCACCATTTTTACTTCCCTTCGCCGTCTGTGATTAGTGCGACCGCGCGGCACTAACTAACCGAATTACAATTAAGGCCTTACCGGGAAATTAACGGCTGTTCCGCTTCATTCCTTTCGAACCTTCTTTACCGACCTTCCACCGAACGGCGGACCCTGGCGGTCGATCCTGAAACTAACGAACCGAAAGCCGTTTGGTCTGAGACCGAAGAAGACGTATTTTCTCATAGCGGGGAAAGCTTTATTTTCCGAGAATGATAATGAGATATTCGTCTGGTACTTTTAGTGAAATCGGCGGCTTATTCTGTGTATCTATTTTAAGGGTGTTTGAGGGCAAAAGTGTGTTCTCTAGGAATAATAAGGTTAAAGGGATATTTTTGTATAGGACGACAGGCTTTTTCGTATACGACAGGCTTCGTAGATTTTTATATAATTTATCGCAATCAACTGTCCCGATTAGGTTGGCCTGTAGGTATGGCTGGATAGAATCGAGTTTAGCAACAGTCCGTTTAAACTTCTTGACCTGTTCTGTCTGACGGCGACCTGTTTTTATATACCGGCTTGCATAATCTTCCTAAGATGGTAAGACTGTGTCGATGGAAATCGTTTCGTGACGTTACGCAGAATTCTACAGTTGCTCGGTCTGTGTGCTTTTCGAGATTCGAACGTTACCCGCGTAAGGACTATAGCTGCGTGAAACTGGCTGCAACTGGGTCGCACGGTATAGGCTGTGAAATCAATTAATTCTTTGACATTTTGAACTTTCTAGCTTTATTTTCTTTAGTAATTTCTATGTCTATATATGTATATATATACTCAGGGATTATTATGTATGACGGAAATACGGAACCGGATCCTGTATAAAATTAGCCGTGTACCTGTTACAATAAATAACAATTTTAAACCACGAATTTAGAGAACAGCTATTCTCTTAGCGATTCGAGCAAAAAGCAGGGTCCTAATGAGAAAGGCGTATTTTCAATCAGGAGTTATACCTTTGCGACGAGTTCAATTGACCTCGGCAATATTTCAACGAGTTATTGTTCTTCAAGATCTTGACTTCCTCAGGAAATTGAGAACATCGGAACTTGGAAAATTGTACGCGAATATTTAGCTACGCGACATTCGGTTCTTCGATTCACATGGTTTTGTCAATATTTTTATGAAAATGTCATGGGATTGTTTTCTTTGTCGTTTCGTCTAGAATCTTTTGGTACGATGACTCTTTCGATCTCGTCGAGTGCACTCAATGAGAATATTCAACGGGCGTCATTAAGCGTCGGGTATTACTTTCCCAAATGGGATTGGAAGTCTTCCAGAGAAATTCCGTCATTAAATTTCAAGATGAATGATCGCCGATAAGACATTATATGTATTCCCAAGTAAATACGTACGTGAGTGTACACTCGTTGTTTAGATATACGATTAAAAGATCGACAGCGCGGAAATAATGTAAAGCAGAAAAAAAAAGATTCTAGACCAATTCCATATGTGGGAATATGAGTTTTGCGAAATTTCAGTAAAAAGACAAAGCACCGTAATACACTGATTATAGTCTCATACGGTAGATCTCATATTCGAAATAACTCGATCTGGACGTAAATGTATTTTATCGTGTATAATATACCTAGTACGCAATTTAAGTTCGACATTCGTTTGTGCTCGGAAGGATTTTTTTTGGGTCGGAAATGATAAAAAAGAAAAATACATGAAAAAGGTACCAAAAGGTAATATTCGTATAGGTGAGAACATGTACGAAATTTGTACACGCAATTTTTTTTTTTTTTTTTTTTCTTCAGGAATACATGAATTTTATTTTGAAATATAGCGATATAAATTCAAGAGAATAGAAGAGACCTTGAATTTAACATATCACCGGATATCCGGCCTGGTATCGCGAATGCTTAAGAATTTTCGCACGAGTTTCTCGGTCACGTAATTTCGTATAAAACAGCTTCGTTCTCAGTAATGACAAAGAGAACATGGAGAAACTTTGGTTTTGGAAGAAGCGAGGAAGTTGATGATCTCGAAGTCGGGCGACTTTTACCAGTGAAAACACCTAAAGCCTGTCTTCGCTTCTCACGAAACGATTAACAATGATCGGTCGCCAGTGGGTAAGTTCGCACGAGCGCGACGGATTTCTAACGATTAACCTGCGAGCGATGAGAGCCGACAGCTACGTGGGGCTGGTCGTCGCTCGATGAGAACTGGCCTTAGTTAAAGTCATTAGGTAAAATATTAAAATGCACGCGTGCACGCATACGGCCTGTAGTTTGCACACCGGTGCATCCAATTTTTCGCAAATTACGCCGCAGAGCGCGTGTCGCTTAGTTACGCCAGTTCTACAATGTTTCTCGTTACTTTATTTTCACTCCGTTTTCCCTTTTGTTTCGCTCGTGATTCTTACAAATTAGACGCGCATGCGCATCGCTGCCGTCTAATTCGTTCTTCGACCGTATCGCAGTAGCATCGCGCATGTAAAATTTACAAGGAAAATTTTTCACACTTGAAAATATAAATTTCGGAAATTCGTTAAAATTAGAAAAAAAAGGTTTTTTTTTTTTTGAAATAGCGGCAAAAGATAACGTCGTAATTTTCCTTAAACGTCGTTCCAGGTATTGCACCTTATCGCCACTTTACCTGTTGGCTGTCCGCTTATCCTCGATTTCCAACGATTGCAAATTCAGGGAAGGCGAGTCAGGCTTAAGGCGAAGCTGAATACTTTGTTTAAAACGACGCTGCGAGATTACGGCCAGATATGGTTGGACTTGTCTGGCATTTCTGACTCTCATTAGGGAAACTGGTTTATCATTATCCTCCCACGTTCGCAGGCGCAATTTTCTCAACCTATACTTCTCTCATTTTCACTCGCTCTCTCTCTCTCTCTCTCTCTCTCTCTCTCTCTCTCTCTCTCTTTCTCCCTCCTACTCTGTTTCTACATTACTTGCATCATCCTTTAGCTTTGTATTCTCCCCTCTTGACATTATCCGTGCGATTTTTCAAATAAGCCTACCGAGACTCTCCCATAGACACTAAGGCAATTCCCATGATTCGTATTTCGTATTGATCCGCGAACAAGGAGGGACTCATTACCAGCTTATTAATCGGATTTGCCGAGACATTAATTTGATTGGCTGATCCAAGCGCCCTTTGAGGTCGAGAATTACATGTAAAACAGTCCAGAAAGTCTTTTGACCTTAATGAAAGTTTCGCATTTTGAATATATACAGGCAAAATTTTGTACGTGGAAAAAATTAAATTTAAAAAATTAATTGTGACTACAGAGTACAAGTCGAATTGAATTTATTGTTTCTTAATGAAAATTATATATATTTAATTGTCAAAGCGGCGTTTTTACACGAAACGTGAAGAATCAGAGTAAATCGACTTATAGACGTGTATACGTATATACATACCCGAGCGAACTTTGATTCGATACAAAACGCAGTTCAAAGAAGTGGAACGCCTCCCCACGGTACAGTTGGATTTTCTTTTCTGTTTCAGTTAGGATGCAGGCAAGTGTATTGACGAGGTTTCCAGGCACGAAGCGATGAGACCTCTGGATGGAGGCCGAGGAAGCTGCAGAGCCCCCTGGGGCTTCGATCAACTTCCGTTCACCAGATCCTCGCTGTTACTAGCCGTTTTCCGCGGGAAATTCGAATCAACAGGAAGCAGACCGGGCGACTAACCAAAAGAAATACGGTGAAAGTGATACCCGCCATCTTTGAATAAGAAGCGTCATTACCTTAATTGACAATATACAAATAACGTGACACCAGCCGCCCCGACAATCACGATGCTCGTTCACTTACAACGTCAAAGAATATCGTCAAGCCCGATCCTCACCGGAAGCCACGGTAGCATCCTGGATCAGAGTAATCGTCATGGTAAAGAGTAATCTGTGATATAAAGTTGAACCGAAGCAAAACTTAATAATAACGAAGAGACAGAGCTGCTATAAAAATGGCGGCACCGGTGATCGAGAAGAAGCGGTTCTTCTGCCGGGAGTGGGCCTTCATGAAGCTCTCTCACTGTCTGGAGCAACGGCCCGCTTCGAAGACATGCGGGGCCCTTATCGTGGGTGGCCCAGGAAGTGGGAAGACGGCCCTGTGCGCAGAGCTGGCATGGCCGTCGAATGGTGCCAACGCCCGACACCAGAGGTCACTCAATAGAAGATTATTGGCCAGGCACTTCTGTCAGGCCAGGAGCGAAGCTTCGCTCTCGCCGGCCCAATTCGTCAGGTCCTTGGTGGCCCAGTTGCTCCAAGCTAGCGCAGATGGAATCCACTTGTCCTCGCCGACCTCACCGACACCCAGCACGGCGACGACCTCCCTCACGTCGAGGGAGGCCGTCGCGGAGTCGTACGCGGAGAAGCTACGAACTGACCCAGAGATTCAGGCGGCGCTTCAGCCTGACATCCTGGACCGGGATCCGGATGACGCGCTCAAGAAGGCTCTTCTGTTTCCCCTCCTGGAAGTCGAGCCTCCGAAGAACTGTCTCTTCCTCCTGGTGGACTCCATCGACGAGGCCCAAATACTGAACCCACCTCAGACCGGGACCAGAGACTCGAGACGCGAGGGTGACAACGTCAGTAGGACCATAGCCGAGCTCCTCGCGAATCATCATCATCTATTTCCGCAGTGGCTCCTTCTGGTCTGCACCGCTAAGAGACAGAGCAAAACCATCTCGCGCATGTTCACCGGGTTCCGGAAGATATCGCTTGACGACCTCAGGAAGTCCCAGGTCGTACGGGACGTTCAGCAGTACATCCTGGCCAGGCTGGACCAGGAGGACGCCTTGAGACAACACATTTCCAGGGACACCGCGGAGATGCTGAACCAGCTCCATATCAAGAGCAACGGGTGCTTCCTGTACCTGGAGAAGGTCCTCGACGGAGTCGCGGAGAATTTCATAGTCCTGCGAGAGGTTCGGGAAATTCCTGGTACCCTGAACGGTCTTTACCTCTGGCTGTGTCAGCGACTGTTCAGTAGAAAACAGTTTGCGAAGGTGCAGCCGCTTCTGAACGTCATCCTGGCCGCGAAGTTACCGGTCACTCAGGAGATTCTTTACAAGTGCGTCTGGACGGCCAACACCGGGATCACGATGGAGGATTTCAATAGGAGACTTCATCTCTTACGGAGGGTCATCTCCGTATCGAGAGCCGGCGCTCTTATGCTCTTTCATCACAGCTTCGCCGAATGGCTCCTAGACGTTAAGCACTGCACCCAGAAGTACCTCTGCTCCGCAGCCGAAGGTCACGCCATGCTGGCGGCCCATTACACGCTCCGGGCTCCTGAGCTCAATCCCGACGAGATCTGCGTCCTGGGACAGCACTTGCAACGAGCCATGACTAATCTCGGGTCCACCGGATGCAGCCTGGACGCTCACGCTCTTCAGGTCTTGTGGATGATCGGAAGTGGGGCACCTATCGAGGATTGTTATCTGGACAGTTCGGATTGTATATTGTGGCCGAGGCAGGATAGCAAATTGCTCAGGCTTCTGGTAGATGCTGGCGCCAAGCCTTCGGAGAAGATTGTCGACGACGACGTCAATAAGGAGGCCGTTCCTTCTAGTCAGGTAATTTTTTAGAAATTTTTTTTTTATTTAACATCCTACCGTTTTTTTCTTCAAATATATCGCTATAGCGATATATATATATTTGCATCACTGTAGTAGATATTTGGTACTGGTAAATTTCCAAATGACGTCCGACTATGACCCCCCGTACGTATGACTAAGTACTCCCGACTTATTTCCTCAAGCAATTCGCAGTTTACGAAGACTAATAGAGATAACGTATTCCGATCGATCGCGACGTGCATTTCTAATCTTTTCGCCCGATAAGATAAGGCAACACGAATTTAATCACTCTCACTCGAGTCTTGTATTTTGAATATCGATCAGTGAATTTCCTCTTCCCTTGCGTCTTCGATCGATCGTAAAACAATAGACACCTTAATTAACAACAGTGCACCGTATATCCGTGTTTCGAATTACCTCCACATACAATACGACGCACGCTTACTAATTGCGTGACCGTGAGTGATCATTTTTCGAAATCATCGAGAACGCCCACGTGCTATTCCAAAAATAGTATCGTGGCGTCGCGCAGCATTTAAATTTAGTATGATACCAACGATCCATAAATAACTTCCCACTCTGTTATATTCAATTAAAAGATTTTTCTTATTTTTAAAAAATTCTTTTCATAATTAGACTACTTCAAGAATACGTTTTTCTTTTTTCTTTCTTTTTTAACGATAAAACGTATTGCACGAGTCGCCAAGCTGATTACTAAGAAAGGCTGATTAACTTCATGAATAATTGTCAACACGGTGAGGTAAGGGTGTATTAAAAAAAATTGCCACATTCCTCCATCAGGATGTTATTTCCTGACTAACCGATTCCGTAACTGAACGATCATTTGGGTTTCGGTCCCTGAATCATTTGACTACATCACGGAATGATTTACCGGGCTGAATCATCGTTTATCCGCGATTCTTCACGCTTTCGAAATTCCAAAGAACTAGTACCACCACGCGTCCTCGAAACGCATGTGGAGGGGAACGCGAAATTGCTGTAACCATGTGTACCAATTACAAAATGAAGTTTCGCACAATGTCATGTTGCTCGTGTCTGGAAATGCAAAAGGTCTCGCAGGATGTGAGCCCCATGGATGAATCTCTCGGAGAACCATTGACAGAGCTGCTTGGCGAGAGTGGCGACATAAACCAAGCAGACTCAAGTGGCCGCACAGTGCTCCATACCCTGGCAGCGGACGGGAATGCGTCGCTTCTGGAATTAGCACTGGCAGCGTGTCCTCAGGTAAGATTAAGGGGGAAAAAAAAAAAAAAAAATGTAATTTTTCGTAAGCATTAAAATATTCACACACAAAATTTGAGTATACGTACCATGACTAATAATTGACAATTTTTCTGCTCCCATTAAGGCAAAATTGGAAGCTACAGATCGTCATGGTCAGACGCCATTGAACTTAGCTGCAAGACATGGCTACGCGGACGTAGTCAGGGTACTATTAGCTGCTGGTGCAAGTGCGGATCATGCAGACTGTGATGGTTGGACCGCGTTGAGAGCAGCTGCCTGGGGCGGGCACACCCAGGTACATTCACAGCCAACCCTCACTGGGCAAACCCAGGACACTGTTAAAAGTACTCCCAATGTAGTTAGTGTTGATTTATTTTATTACTTGGTTCGCCTCGTTGTGGCTAATATCTGCACTATCGCTTTCGCACGTTAACTTTAAGTTTTCCCACGCACAGTAACATCCACGAAGCCCCCTCGTATAGGTTGACTGTATTTCAAGTAATGGATATTCAGAAGACGGTTACGAAGAATGACCTTAACAATCGTACTCTGTAATTGGCATGTACGCATATATCCTATATATATATATATATGAATCTGCAAGCTGCAAGACACATACCTTCTATGAAGCTATGAAGCTGCTATGAAGAATCCAGCCTTACACAATTGAACGCACGTGCGCGCATGTACTGCAATACGAAATGCAATAATTTAATGCAGTCCGTCTGATCTCTTAGCTCATAAGCTTCGGCGAATGCATGTTTGCTCCGTGATTATGCATGCGATTCGATTGTCTGACTTATGGCTAACAGAGACCTAACGTATGAAATTGAATGACATGTAGCTCCGCGCGTGACACCGGCACGAGAAATCGCGTGCGTCGCGCCGCGATGGCTCGACTTCTTGTTAGCTTCTGTATTAATGGAATCAGGCGAAGGCAAAAGTAAACACGACCGCTTCTTGCAGGTTGTCGAGCAGCTCCTCGAGCACGGAGCCATGGTGGACTGTGCGGATTGGGATCAGCGTACGGCACTACGTGCGGCGGCCTGGGGAGGCCACGAGGACATCGTCAAAGCGCTGCTGCAACATGGGGCCGACGTGAATAGGACCGACGACGAAGGCAGAACTGCACTGATAGCTGCGGCTTATATGGGTCACAGTGAGATTGTCGAACACCTTTTGGACTTTGGAGCTAAGATAGATCACGCGGATAGCGATGGTAGAACAGCGTTGAGCGTGGCCGCGCTGTGCGTACCTGCTAATCATGGTTACGCCAAGGTGAGAATGTATTTTTGAAAATTTGAGCAAAAAAATTTATTTATATTTTTCAATATTTTTTATCCTATCGTTCATCTTATTTTTAGGTCGTTACGATACTTCTGGAAAGAGGCGCTGCGGTTGATCATCAGGATAAAGACGGCATGACTCCACTTCTTGTGGCAGCCTTCGAGGGCCATCGAGATGTGTGTGAATTATTGTTGGAATACGAAGCCGACGTCGACCATTGCGATGCTACTGGACGAACGCCTCTGTGGGCAGCTGCCAGCATGGGTCACGGATCCGTTGTGGCTTTGTTGTTATTCTGGGGCTGCTATGTTGATAGTATAGACAATGAAGGGAGAACTGTTTTGAGCGTGGCTGCTGCACAAGGTGGCACAGACGTGGTTAAGCAGCTTCTGGACAGAGGTACTTATCGTGGTAGAGCCATTTAGCAATTTTTATTGCAGAAAAGTACGCTGGGATTGAGTGCCAGTAGCAGTTGCGATGATCTCATATGGGTCTATGTTTAATCAGGTCTCGACGAACAACATAGAGACAATTCCGGATGGACGCCATTGCACTATGCTGCTTTCGAGGGTCATATAGATGTCTGCGAAGCTCTTCTAGAAGCTGGAGCTAAGGTTGACGAAGCTGACAACGATGGCAAAGGTGCTCTCATGCTCGCTGCGCAAGAAGGTCATACGTCCTTAGTCGAAAGATTGCTGGACCAACATAATGCACCTATAGATCAACATGCGCACGATGGAAAGACTGCCCTGAGGTATTTATATAATATTTATAGCATGCTTATAATAGACTTGGTCGTACCTGTAATTGCCATGGGAACTGTAACGAACGTGAGATGCATCCTTATGTGGGTATACAGACTGGCAGCTTTGGAAGGTCACTATGACACAGTAAGAGTATTACTGTCACATAATGCTGACGGCAATGCCAAAGATGCCGATGGACGAAGTACCCTATATATTCTTGCCCTGGAGAACAGACTGGCGATGGCGAGATTTCTCCTGGAACATGCACACGCCGATGTGGAAAGTAGAGATTCTGAAGTACGTTTATCAATTTTTCTTTGTTTTATTTTTTTTAATTATTAAATAATTCTTATACTTGTGTATGCTTAGCATCGGTTCTGCGTTTCATACAGAGGTGCTGATCTTTATTCGGTGTGTATTCTATAGGGTAGAACACCGCTTCATGTCAGCGCTTGGCAAGGACACGTGGAAATGGTGGCTCTGCTATTAGCAGAAGGCAATGCAAGTGTGAATGCCTGTGACAATGAAAATAGGACTCCCCTTCATTCAGCCGCGTGGCAAGGACACGCGGCCATTGTCAGATTACTTTTGGAACATGGTGCAACTCCTGATCATACTTGTAATCAAGGTGCAACTGCATTAGGTATGGTGATGTAATATTTTATTGTTGAGAGTAACAAATATAACAGATTGACTGTTTGCCTTTGTATGTTAGATAAAGTATAATAATATTAATAATGCTTAGGTATAGCTGCTCAAGAAGGGCATGAACATTGTGTCAGAGCCCTTCTCAATCATGGTGCAGATCCAAATCATTCAGATCACTGTGGGAGAAACGCTATTAAGGTAGCTGCCAAAAGCGGCCATGACACTGTTGTTAGATTACTTGAAGAACATTCAGCAAATCAACGAAGTTTGCGACCGGGAGCCAATGGGGGTAGGTATCGCACCAGAGAACTTGGCTTCACGTAGTTACTTAAAATAGCTATAATTAATATATCAAATGTCAATCTACTTCAGGTGGTAGTAGCAGTGCAACGTCAGTAACGTCGAATTCGACAGCGGAAACGAAACCCTCGTCGGCCATTTTGAACCCACTATCCACTCAGTACAGTCCGGCAGAGTCACCCGACTCGACAAAGAGAAGAAGCTGCGTATCCTTGGGCAATAATTCTAGCAATAGTAAATCCAGCAGCAACCTGACTGGCAGTACCAAGAGTGATCAGGGAAAATTCAGTCAAAATTCAATGGTCAACCAGGTAATTAAAGTAGGTAGCCAAACCATGTTACTTGCATACAGTATATGATAATGATATTTGTGAAGTGTCTTAAAATTCTTAAAGTTGTTTTACTTTGCTTTACGTATCGCATAGTATTTGAATTACAATATTTATTTCAATTAGTTCTATAATAATTTCAGGCACCTTTATCCTTCACGCAACAACTTCAGCAATGCTCTCGGGGTGCAAAGAGCCGACCTTTAAGCAAACTATTGTCGCCATTGAAGAGTGAACCACAGAGTCCGATTTATGCTTCGCCGCCTCATTCACCATTGAGTGACAGCCTTATACCTTACTCGCCGACAAATACAAGCCCGCCAAGTGCTCAGACTGCGGCCAGCGTTATACAAAGCCAACTCGGGGTGTCTCTCTTAACAGGCAACCAAAGTATACAATACAAGGCACAGGGTGGAGGATACAATCATACCTCAGCCATCTACGAGCCAATAAATATAAAAACTGAAATTATTGAGAGAAACGAAACCACCAGGCCCTTCGAACTGACGAACGAAATGCTAGGTTTCAGTGTTGGCAAGGATAAGAAGAATATCCATGACGATAAGAGAAATTCAGCTGATACGCACTTTACGCGAGACACGCATATGAGAATTATTCTGGGCAATAGTGGTGCTGGTGTTGGTAGAAACGTTAAGCACACGCCAGAACATACATCTGGAAGGTAAGAAATAGTTTTGTATTTATAATTAAATTTGTAGCTATTAGTTTGACAGTTAATAGAATGACCGAAATGTAAAACACGACTAAGAATATTTACCTTTGTTTCAGCAGCGGTAACTCAAAACCAAAACGTAATGGTTTAGTTTCTAATCCGGCTATGAGACTTGTCGCTGGCGTTAGAAATGGCATTGAAAATGCCACAAATCGTAATAAGCCAATTACAACGAGAGTCAATGGATTTCAATGGAAGGCGGAAACGCGAAAAGAGACGCCCTTGTAGGAGCAGGTATTAATGCATGCTGTCCTGTGCATTAATTGAGATGAACTTATACGTAGGAGATGAGAGTGAAAATATCCGATAAAAAAAATATTAACCTCTCGATCGTCTCTATGATTCAGGTTTTAGAATTTGCAACAGGTTCGCGAAACGTTGCAAATCGATACTGCGGTTGGAGGATCTTCATCAGCAAGAAGCGAAAGTCAATAAATAAATTTTTCTCCTTTTATTTGAGCAAAATCAAATTACCTCAAATGAAGAAGTGACGAAAGCATATTGAAAATGATACTAATTAGGAGACGAATGGAAATTACCTAACACATAATACCAAATATTAAACTGCATAAGAAATGTATGTAGATTTAGTGATGTAATCTTATCGATACAACTTTGTATAAATGTAACGCTAATTAAATTCTTTACTGATCTCACTAATACTACATATATTGATAACTGATTTTCGAAATCTCAAAGAAATGCTAGAGTGATAATTTTGACGAAAGATTAAATATTGAGATTTTCAATGGAAGACTGGATGCTGCGAATGAAGCGGATTATATGATGTCTGAGAGAAAGTTTTGAGAATTAAAAAGAAATGTAAAGATATGTAAAAAAAAAAGAAGAAGAAGTAGTATTGAAACAAACAATTAAAAATCCTAATATGAAGATAGTCTGACGATGCCGAAGTTGCTTCAAATACGTAAAAATATGGCCTGAAAGTGGAAAAGCCCGTGTAAATATCCGTTATTTATGTATTGTGCACAACACCAATCATATTTATTATTACACTGTAGTAGATGCAAAATAAAATACGAAAATTTAAATTCAATAATTAAATTATAACCTGATGCTTCTGATGGAAAGACAAATGGTACACGAAAAATTATAGGACCTCTGTCGCTCACTGATAAATGGAAGTCATTTATAGGATTATCACATCATGTAAGTAATTAAAAATATCACAAGACTAGTTAAAACGAAATTAACACTGTATATACAACTAACATGATATATATTGAAAACGATGTGCCACGGAAACTATTCTGCCTAAATTTAAAAAAAATTAATTTTTTCAAATGTAACAGATATCAAGAAAATATTGTAGTATTTTATTCCACGGCACATTTTATTTCAATTAATCTAATTCACGCCATTTCTTTTATTATAGATTCTGGATTAATAATCTTTGGACGATGGACACTCTATATACTGACTATACTCACATTCCACCAGGAAGGAAAAAAGAGAAACTACAATAAAAAAAAAATTAACTTTGTTATACATATAACTATTGTGCAGACTAGCCAAAGATTAGCATCAGCTAATAGTTAAAGAGATGAAGATGATGAGTACTAATATACACAGTGCTTACTATAGTCGGACGAATAGTTGTATTTTTTACCGTCATTTATATTTATCGTTTTACATAGACGGATAAACTGTCGTCCGAAATCTTGCCTATGTTTTTAAAGGGACTAAAAGAAAACACTGGGCTACAGTACATTTCGTTAAATAAATTACGTTAGGACAAAATGAAGGCATTAAACGGCGAAGTCGAGGAAAGCGTGCCTCCCCCCTCCTCCTATTTGCAAAATATTAATACTATAAAAATACCATTAAAGACCTTTTTAGGATAATACTGTACATGAAGGTTTCTACGTTGCTGTCATGCATGTCAATTCTTGTACGTTTCATGCAATACTCACAAAATTTGTAAAACGAACACTTACCTTTTGAATGGGATGAAACTTTTCCAAAAAAAAAGACCACATCTTTCAACAAATATAAAATATAACTTTTAAATGGAAGGTAGTCATTCAATTTTTCATGTTTTTTTTTTGTGATCACACAAGTCCTCTTTTTTATCAGATTTATTATGTATATTACCAATTTTGAAAAAGCTTCATCCCGATTCGCATTCGTTAATGAATAATTTTCGAAATGAAATTTATTATACTCGTACTTGTAAGTAATGGAAGGAACGATTGATGGAATTGACAATTGTCCAGATTGTACTTATGCATTTCCTTTCGCAAGAGATAATTTTTGTGTTTGTTCAATTGAATATTCGTATCCTAATTGGAATCTTGCGTTAGGAAATTTGTTAACTGGACGAATGTATCGAAGTCTGATTTTATTGAGAATAGAAAAGCATTGTAAGTAATGAATTTGTGGTACGAAGGCCTAGACAGATTAACAAGCAATTATACTTCACTTGCTGCAATTATAATTGAAGGACGATTCACTGTATAACATAGAGAGATAATAGCCTATTTAATATTTAATACTTGTTTTTATTGTACATTGAAATTAGCTTTAATTGCGTACGCATCGTTCGTGCCAATTTTAATTAAGCATTAACGATAATTAAAGATGGTACGAAGGTAATGAAGTTTGTGTGATTTTTGTTAGATTGGAAAATGTGATTTCAATGGTAACGTTCTAAGGATGAGGACGTAATGAGAGATGAGAATAAAACAAAGTTCTATAGCGAGACGTTAAATAGAGAATGAATATAGCATAATTAGCAGAGACTCACTGTTAGAAGTGTTGAAATGTAGATTTATTATTATTATTATCATTATTACATTTATTCATCTTGTAAATAATTAAATTATCGTTAATATCGATGTATGGTATTAGCACACTACGTAATACACAAATAGAAAACAAAATGACTCCTTAAGCCTGTGTTAAACTAAAATTATGTGGTCTAGAAAATTTCGTCAATAGAATGAAAATTATAATTTTCAACTAATTGTGAAGCGACTATGATTACTCAATAATAAAACCGTGTATTGTATGAAAACGTAATATTAATTTTATTTTCTTCGTCTCGGTTAAACATGGGCGCCTACGAGCGTGACTGAATTTTAAAAACCCAGTAGCGTAGATGGCGCCACGATCGAAACATTAAAAAAATGAATGTACGAAACAAAATAGAATGAAGTGTGATCGATGACGTATCAAAAATGAAGTCACTGATTTGGCATGCAAAATCATAGTTTATATCATTAGATATATTCTGAACGATAAAAACATGAAAATTGTTTATAATCATCCATGAACCTCTGAAAATCCAATTTTTAAATGAAATTTTCGTTCTTGGACTGAACTTGAACTTCGAACTCAGGAATGAATGCGTTTTCTACAAAAGGTGCTAAATTACACAAAACGCCTTTTTGGCACATCAATCAAAATGCCTCAACGTGCCACACCCATTCCTGAACGAAAGGCTATCCCAAATTTTCAAGTATCCTGTAACGCCAGTCGTACCACGGAAAAAAATATGGAAGGTGATCGATCGAGTTCCTAACGTAATAAATTCTTAACGCCTGATATAAACCAATTCTTTTGCAAGGATCCACAATCTACGATCATCCCGAAGTCAGCTGCGTGGCTGAATACATTAAGAACAAATTGTACTTTGCCACTTTTCTTAACAGAAAATCAGAGATTCGATGTACACCGAATATTCACTTCTTTAGTATCGACGACGAATTGATTTATCAGAATTTCTATAAT